CTAAATTTTCCTATTGATCTAACCATCTAATTATTACCACAATGAACTGCAATCTATAATCGTACACAATTACAAATAAGTCTCTACCTATAGCTAGGAATCTCTCGATGGAAATAGGGGAAAAACATAAAAATGTAGCTAGACCTAGAATGACTGACCCGGCTAACTTACATAATTCTTGATTATGCAATAAGTTGTTGCTAACACCTAAGAATTAACTTATCTAGAATTCTGCAATTAATTCTCACTCCTCTTTTAAAACTTAGATATACTGAATTTCACCCCACCCCACCCCCAACCTATACCTAAAACTGATTAAAAAAACAACTACTTGATTGGAAAAACATTTTGATGCAAAACCTACATATTAGTGTAGAGCCGATGATGAGGAACTAACTTAAATTAGCTAGTAAAGGAGTCAGTCATTGCACTTCATACACTTGCATGTAATCACACAATAAGTGGGGGGTGGAACAGGGTGAAAGTAATAAAAAGTAATATAATTAGGTGGAATGAGAGACAGGTTAATCACTGAAGCTTTGTTTGTCGATTCAACACTGCATACGTGCAATCGGAATGTCGCAACTGTCTGTCTGCCTGTCTGATTTCGACACAGAACTTTGGACTGGTGTGCAGGAGTTCACACTGCATCCACGTAGCACACAAAGCAAGAGAAGATAGTAGAAGAAATGCAAAACAGAGACGGTAAACAGGGATATGAGAGAAAAAGAATAGTAATATGGATGAAAAAATATTTTTATTGGGTATTATAAGTCACAAGGAGTGGATGCATCTGCGCTAGCCATTGAGAACGATTTTGAGCCATATACCAGCTTTTCTCCAGTCTCCATTGGTTTTTACCGTCCTGAGGACCCCAACCAGTCAGTCAGGAAGTCTATACCTTCCCACATGGTTGGCTGGCTCCCTTAAACTAACTGTGGTGGATTTCATTGACCGATGAAGTCATGTTTTCGTTTGACCACCGCTGGCTCTTTTCCAACCTGACCCTATATCAGCTAACATTGCCCGTTGTCGAGCAACGCGATGGCTAGACATGCATGACCAGCACACATGTCCTAACCAACTCAGTCCATGTAGCTTCACATCCTCGTCGATTGATTTCCCCTCCCACCCACCTAGCACTCGACCGACGCCTAACCTCAATATTGCTCACCCTATTACACCTACCACTTCACACGGGAGATAGAACGCAGGCACCTACGATCGAGGACAGCTAGCTAGCTTTTTCATGTCCCCTACTCTCAAAGGCCAGGTCTCACAGCTGGCCATAAAGGACAATGGAGCGGACTGCTGAGCAGTACACACGTCCTTCAGTCGATAGGCGGATATCACATATACGCCAGAGACGGAGCTGAAATTTCCTCAGCGATTAACCCGTTGGGGCTGAATATCGCAAAACCTATACGGGAGATATGCAAAGTGGCAAAAAACAACAAGGTGAAGTTGTAGAAAGAGGGAGAGAGATGAAATATGTATATGTGAAACTGTGTAACTAAATTAATATGATTATGAGTGGCAATAATTTATGCTCGAAACCTTGTCATCCAGTTGTTAATACGGCATCACTTGTGTGACATTTAAAATAAATTTATCTTATTGGTTTCCTCTGAAGAAAACTATATAAAAAATCCTATGAATTATAAAAAAAAACTCGTAAAATTAGTTCGCAAATGAAAGAGAAAGCCACTCTCTCTCCATCAAAGCAACGACTGATAAGATTAAAGTATAAATTAAAGGTCACGAAAAATGCCAAAATAATATGCATTTTAAATCAATTGAAGATAAACAATCTAAGGGAATTTTATTTTCGGACATTATAACACTGTTGCACTTCTAGCTGATATTCAAATAAACTTACACACTGAAAGATGATAATCCTTTAGGAAAGAATTAATACACGACCTTTGAGAAAGTGAATCATCTATGAACACTAGTCAAGTGTTGTACAGATCATATGAAAAACAATGGAGCCAGTGGTGCACTAGATTTAATAGTTTCCATTTGTTTAAAACTACACTGTAGTTCTGTCGACTTAAATATGTATAAAAATTTATATCCTAAATAGTTTGGGATTCATCGGCAGTACGCACCCACCGCCAAGGTTCGAACCCAGGGCCTTCCGGTTACAAGGCAAGCTAGCTCGTATACCATTCAGCCACTGGGACCCGAATTCAATGGCTCATGAATTCTAACTTCTACCAATTCGTGATTTAGCGCGACTCCAACCATTGACGTTGGTGGGACATCCATCCACACATGAGCCATTGAATCGGGTCCCAGTGGCTGAATGGTATACGAGCTAGCTTGCCTTGTAACCGGGAGGTCCTGGGTTTGAATCCCAGTGGGTGCGTACTGCCGATGATTCCCAAACTAGGATGAAACAGCAGCTGTCCAGTACTCCCTGTGACTGGTTTTCAATGGTTCTCTAACTGATATCAATCCGTGATCAACTCGTAAAACATAACTAATCCTTACAAACCAAACTATAGAAAATCCTAAATAGTGTCCGTAAGGTAGGTTTCTATCTATCTACCATCCAAAGTTTGAACTGTTTTCTGATTCTGTCAGAATTCTGAACAAATACGGTCAACAACAACAAAAACACAACTAAAAAGATTGTGTATTTAAGTAGTTGTCAAAAATGCGGGAAATGAATGCTGTTCTAAGAATATTTTGAAGAAATGTATACGTCAATGTACACTAAGTCACATCATCGTGGAGAGAATAAAGGATGCACTGGATGCAGAACTTCACACCCACGCTGAAAAAAAGCTAGATTCAAGAAGAGTATATATCATGGAGTTGACCGAATTGCAACTCTACGCATCGTCAACACAGAACAAAGCATAGAATGACAGTCATATATCTACGTCAACTTCACCAACCTCGGAAAAGCATTCGGCAGCATTGACTGAGATGTAATTTGAAAACTACTTCAACATTACGGCGTGCAGTGATCCAAGTCTTCATCAACTTCATTCAACCACAGATGTGTGACACTGCCACGTCGTGTTAGGTGATCGACAACGGAGAGGCGTTCGAAGTGAATACAGGAGTAAGACAAATCTGGTTGCATATTATCACCGATGATATTCTTAATGGTGGTGGACTGGATTATGCATCAGACTGTACGTCGGGAGCGACAAGACAGCAAGCAATACGCTGGATTACTGACAAGAAGACTCTAGCAGTTCTGGATTTCGCGGGTGATGATTTATGTTCAATATCACACAAAATAGGAGACTTCAAGGCGAAAACCAACAAACTGACTGAAGAAGTAGGCAGAGAAGAGAAAACTACAAGTGAACACAGAGAAGACGGAGGTGATGAAGATACCGAAGCACCACAACCAACAAAAACAACAACCAGCAACAATCTGCATCAACGGGAGAGATTTGAATGAGGTTATTTCTTTCACTTGTCTAGGAAGCATCGCTGCAATCACTGACATACGGAACGGATGAAGATGTCACAGCCAGCCAGGATCGGGAAGACAAGATACGTCTTCATCAACCTGAAACCAGTTCGGAAATTTCCTGCACTCCGCCTCAGCATTAAGAACAAGATTCCGATTCTCAAGGCAAATATGAAGTCAGTCACTTTCTTCTATACGGGTCAAAGACTTTCACTGCGTGTCACGAGAAGGATTTCCAACAAGTTACACACCTTTATTAACCAGCTGCCACCTTCGTTAGCTGACTCCATACTAAAGATCAAATGACTGGCCAGAAAGAATAAGTAACAAGAAACTCTGCAGTGGAAGAACCTATCACTCAACAAACACGTAGGCATACGTTGAGGAGGTCGTCAGATGAAATCGCGTGCCAGACCAGTGGTCGAGTAGGACGTGAATGGGAAGCAACAAGTGGGGCGTGTATCCGAAGGTGACATGGAGAAGGTCGTGAAAAAGGAGGAGAAGGAGACCACGGAATACGGGTGGCCATGGGGCCAGACAGAGAGGACTGCAAAGAATAGGACAAAGTGAAGATGTGCTGTTGAAGCCCTACGTTCCACTAGGAACTTAAGGGAACAACAATAATAATAATTAAATATTGGTCTGTTGCGTCTGCATCTGTTAATCAGTCTGAAAATTACTGATTACGTCATTCATCAGTCTGTACGGTTAACATTTACAGCGTATAACTGAAAACCATTAATGACTATGCTGCTGTTCCATCTCAATGAAAAATACAAAAGTGATAGAAGTTACCTACGATTAACTGACTGACTGACTGACTGACTGGCTGGCTGATAAAACAACACAACTTTATCTTCTCAAGTTGTAAATCTTCGAAAAAAATGCACGAATACAATGACACTATATGTGTATGACAAAATAACAATAATTACATAAAGATTAGTGAGAATATTTAGAATCTGAAAGATGATATAGGGAGGAAATGTTAAAAACCACACCCTGAAAGACCCAAATTTCAGACAACTTACACCTAATTATGCAGTACCATTTAAATCCGATTACACTCAACTCTTCCTCCCCCCCCCCAAAAAAAAACAATCCTGCTTCGAAATCTAAAAGTGTCCACAACCACAAAAACCAGGGGGTTCGGTGAAGCTCCACAACATACGTCGAACTCACCACGGATGATGTGTAAACTTAGTATCTCATTGATTGATTCACCTTTTTCCTGCTTGGCACAACGATAGGATACTCGCCAACCACGCCTCATGTGGTTCGGGATTCGATCCTCGGCCGATGAGGCACTCCTTTACCTCGCTAAGCCAGTAAAAAGGCTGCTAAAGAGGGAAGGTCAGGCGTGAGGCTAGCGACCCCAATCCTGTAAAAATAATCACCACTGCTATAGAAATTTCAAGCCTCTAGCTTGAAGCGTTATGTTCCACTGGGGACGTGAAGGAATAAGAAAACTCGACACTCTTACACACACACACACACACACAAAGAGAGAGAGAGAGAGGAGTATCCAGAATTTCAAAGGGAAATAAGTATAAGAAGGACTTACAACTTCTCTTACAATTTCGAATTTCATTGTTTAACTGTATCGATGATGTCGACAGTTCAGGTAATGATGAAAACTGTTGTTGTTGTTGGTGGTGCTGCTGCTGTTGTTGTTGTTCATAACACCTATTCGATACAATTATCGATTGATATGATTGTGAAATACCACCTCGATCGATGGATAACGGTTTACACCTGCCATTTACAATACTCACATTTGAAGGCATATTCATTTCCTAAGAAAATTAAAATAGAAAATAAATATATTATAATTTTTTTTCAAAAAATAAAACAAACAAGCAATAAATGTTTCAATGTAATATCGTTTGATTAAATGATTGTAGGTATTTTTGGTAGGGAGTCATTGATAATATGACCATTGATACACTCGGTAATTTCAGGTGACGAAAATCATACCTAGTCGATTTGTGAGCGCCTACTGTTCTAGTCACTATTAGCAACAACAACAACAACGACACGATACGATACCACCGAACCCACGATGCAAGAAGACAGACAGTTGACGTAGAGAGCTTCTACTGTCTCTAATCAATACCCAAAAAGGGCTGACAGCAATAGCGTACATATATGCTTTAGATGGCCTTGAGATACTAATTAAATTGATAAGTTAAAACAATCAACATCCGACAGAGTTCCAAAGTCATAAGTTTGGGTGTGGGTGCGGTGGATGTTTCGAAATAAATAACAGCACTGTACTGTAAAGATAAATACAGTATTTTAGAAAAAGTAGGTCTACATAACAGAACAGTCTTGGGCGTAGATTTAATACTTATTGGTATTTGTCAGTAAGGCATATCTGCAATCCTGAATAAACTGACTTATTCTCGTGGATTCAAACCTGAATCGCTCAGATGCTATCATCACTAAGCTGTTCAGCCTCACTGACTATAAAATTTGAACTGACAGTTTCCAAATCATCAGGTGTCAGGTTTAAAATAGACGTATATGTAAAAATTATATTTTAGAACACGATAAATTCTCCTCAGGCTTTACAATCGCACAATAAAATTTCACTATGAAACACTTGGGAATTCTCAAGTATTGGTTTTGTAGAGAGGTTCAGCTCCAGGACCTTCTAGTTACAAGGCGACCTAGCTCGGAAACCATTAAGCAGCCACTGGGACCCAACCAGATCCAATGGCCAGCCAGTCCATGAATTCTAACTTCGGTCAATTCATGACAAAGCGCGATCACTTTGCAATGTCTTCTTCTATGACTTACTGCCTCACCACCTTCAACCTGTTGTGTACCATACTGGTGGTCACGGTTTCCCACTAGAACCCCAGGTAACTAACTAACTGCTTGAATGCAGCCAGTCACTAGTGAGCAACAGATACATTTCAAGTATTGATTTGAGAATTTACCACACAAAAATAATTTTTTTTTAAATAACAAATATTTATTTGGAACAACACATTTAAGCGAACAATATTGTTTTCAATTAGATCTCATCAGGTTTAACTCTAATATACGTAAATAACTTTACAAATAAAAATTCAAATACAAACCAATCATGGTGTTTTGTCTATAGGATAATACGATGCTGAATATAAATTGTGCAATTAGTCATAATAGTATCAATGATAATAATAATGGTCTTATCAATAATAAGGATGAAAAAGTGAGGCAATCTGTGATAACACGAATAATGAAAAAGCAGCATGATTAAACAAACAACTGTTCAGATGGAAGTAGTCGATAAAGGCTAGTAAAAACAAATGAACCGATTAAGTAATGTTAGATTGTAAGGGTAGGAAATGAGACACGTTGATAATGAAGATAAGATTAAGCGATGATAAGAAAGGGGTTGAAAATATAAACAAAGGGTGGTGTAGAAGTCATCAGTTGGTTATGTCTTAATAGGCCAATAAGGAAGGGATAATGGCCGTACGAACTCCTTTTGAATGCATAGTTTGGGTTTAATAGTTCCAATGCCTATCGCTTCAGCTGTGTGCAGTAGACAAATATGAAGTCTATTGGAAATATTCGGTGGGATACGATGAATTACTTTGAAGGCTCTCGTTTTCTCCACTACATGACCACTATCAACTAAATGTGACGAAATTGAGCTACGGATTGTTTTGATCTGTCCTTTGCCAATCCACCACGATGGGAGATGATCGGTAACACGTTGGCTGGCTAAGCTGTCTAGTAGTACACCCAATATAAATGTCACCTCAGGTGCAGTTGAATTGATAAAGGTACATAGATGTGGCAAAACTATCAAGCTTATCCTTCGTTTGCGTCCCAATCATTCGTCGGCTAGAGAATGACAAACATAGGTTCGCTGCATAAAATGTTCTTCGTATACTCCTTGAAAGTCTTTGGAATAGAATCTCCCTTGATAAGTCACCATTTAATTGCAACTTACTAAATAGAGGTTTCTTATGTGCAGTCAGAGTCTCAGGTTTTTTCTCTGATGTTTTCATATGTTTCCTTATGAAACTACTCGGATAGCCCATCTCCATCAAGGAATCGTGAATATATTTATTTACTTGCTCAAATCCTGTTCTAAGATTATCTCTTAATGAGGATATTTAAAATTATATATTTCTAGAAACTTAAACCATACTAAAGACAAAAAAAACTTCCAACATCTCAATCGGTAAACTGGTCAGGATACATCTTCAGGAGAAATGATCACGTTTTGTCGAATAAAACATGTTAGAATTACTGGCCTCAGTGTTGCTAAGATTTCTGCATATATATATATATATATATATATATATATATATATAATTGTTTCCTTTAATTCCTAGAGGAACATAGGGCTTCAGCCGTGCGTCTCCACTGCGTTCGGTTCTCTGCTAGAGTCTTTACCTGGCTCCAAGTCTGTCCACACGTTTTCATCTCCTCTTCACATGACCTCCTCCAAGACACCCTCGCACTGACGACCAACTCGCCGCTTCCCTTTCGCGTTCCACCCCAGCAATGGCTTGTCTAATGATGTCACTTGATGGTTAGTTTTCTCAGAGTATAGCCAGCCAATACACCTCCATTTCTTCCTGCCTATTTGTTTCACAATCGGTTCCCACCGAGTTGGTTCGCTCATTGCCAGAGATCTCTGTTGCTGATCTCTTCTCGCCGGCTGGCCATCTGATCTTGAGTGGTATTGAGCGAAGACAACTGTTAATTAAGGTCTGTGGTTTGTTTGACATGCTCTTTATGACGCGCAGTGCAAGTCTCTGATCCGTATAGTGAGTAGCACTGACTTCACATTGGAGTTGAAAATCCGGATCTTATTTTTGATGCTGAGTGTTGTTGACTTCCACACAGACTTGAGAGTAGTGAAAGCTTGTCTTGCTTTTCCGATTCTTGCTTTGATATCCTCGTCAGTTCCTCATTGCGCCTGTAGTTGAAACGATGCTTCCCGGGTAGCTAGGTAAAAGAGGTTGTTTCTTTCAGGTTCCTCCCATTTAGGCTGATTGTTGTTGTTGCTGTTGGTGGTGTTTCCCGGGAATCTTCATCACCTCTGTCTTCTCTATGTTCACATGAATTCCTATCTTTTCTGGATGCTTCTTCTGCCAACTTGTTGCTTTTCGCTTGCATATCTTCCAGTTTGTGGGAAATCAGACATATATCATAGGCGAATATATATATATATATATATATTGCTATTTATTACATTACGCATATGATTGTATTATTTTGGTTAATGACTACGCATAAGTGTATAAATAACCCAGCATATACATACAACATATCGATCACATGATGATAAACGCAGTAAAACTGTCAAATATTAGGCTCAAAGATATGCAAATATGCATGACCTTTCTATACAACTGAAACATGTATGCATGCATGCATGCATGCAAATAACATTGGTTGATAAGAAATAAAAACAATTTAAGTTCAATAAAATAAAAAAATTCTAAATTATGATTGATGTGCAGCATTACAGTTAAGTGATTCAAGCCTCAGGAGAAAAAAAGTGACAATCAACAGAGAATTAAAACAAGAAAAAGTTTGATTTGAAGAAATGAAAACAAGTGTGAAGGGAGAAATCCATTGAAGGGATTTTATCCTCCGACTTTTCTGAATGAGAACACTGAGAGAGGAAAAACTGACTGATTGACTTCAATGTAGAACTTTGCACAGATGTGCAACAGTTCAAGTTGCCACACTCCCTTCGTGTGGCACACAAAACAAGAGTAGAGAGAAAAGAGAAACTGGTCAACATAGAGATAATATTTCGATAAAGAAAGGAAGACGAAATTTGCAGTATAAAATGATATCATTCTATTTCACAGGTTCTCATCAGCTGCAGACTACCTGAAATTTCAATGGTTATATAAATGATAATAACATACTTTAATGTTTGATTACTAGTAGAGAAGAGATAAAATTGACGCATCCAAAAAAGAATGAAAGCATTACAATTTTTAGTTTAAGTTATCATCATCAATTTATACACTTTCAGAGTTGAAAAGAGGGGGGAGGGGTAAGACAGAAAACAGAAAAATTGATTAACAGAAACAGTGTTAGCTTGTAGGTTCACATGGCAACTCCAAAAAACAAAAGCATTTACAGTTTATAAGATTGAGATTTGCTCAGTGAGTTGAGATCACTGATGACTAATCAAAATCAAAATTCTGTTACCAAGGGAGTGAGAGGTTAATTACACTCTCTTTCTGTATGCATAAGTCTGGTTTAAATCGTTTGATTGCGATCGCTTCGGCAAATCTTAGTAAATTTGCTGTCCTTTGTCTATTTAATATTTTGAAGGACTTAGAAATCTCTACCAGATGTCCGGTATCAACAATATGTCTGGTAATTGCACTCTGAGAATATTTGCTTCCTTTCAGGCATAGGTTTCTTGGAATATGTTCAGAAAACCGGATAGAAGCCCTTCTTTCTGTCCTTCCAATGTACTTGCTCCCGCAAGTGCACGTAAATTCATAAACGCAGTTGGAGGTGACATCAGCAGGGTATTTATCCAGTTTTGAGTTGATCATGGAAGGAGTGGTGTTGTATACTGTTATGAGTTTTGCTGCTGGGAAGCTTCTATTTATTGCTCCTTTCAGTCTTCTGTCAATCTTTTGTGAAACTGCACCTCCTTTGAATGGGAGACAAATACATACTTTTTTCTTTTCTACAGTTGGATGCTTTTCTTTCTTTTCTTTTTCTCTGATATACTTCTGTATAAATCCTTTAGGATATCCGTTTTCCCTCAGGCATTTCTCGATGAAATCTAGTTCTTCTTCGACCTTGT